GTCCGTGTAGGAGGTGCGAGTTTGAGTCCTTCTCCGCACAGCACGGCAGTAGGCTGAAAGTGTCTGTTCGGTCCGAGTTGCTTCTCATCATAAAACCGACCCGCTCTGCTCCTGTCTCGGTCACACCAGCGGGTTTGGACTCTGGTGTGTGTGTGTGTGTGTGTATCCATCCATCCGTCACACCAGCGGGTTTGGACTCTGGTGTGTGTGTGTATCCATCCCTCCATCCCATAACACTAACCCCTGCAGCCCTCCTGAGTTTCCTTCCGTGAGTATCCATGGGCTCCTCCCCAAGAGGAAGTGCACGGTGTGGGTCAGGAGCAGAGAATGCTGAGAAACACGTAAAGAGGTAAAAGTTCAGTGAAGGGCAAACACCAGATGCCCAGGTTCAGGGCACTGCCCTAGAGGCATCTCTGGGCTTTACATGTCACCTGCACTCGCAGGCACGTCAATGTTCACCTTTTCATGCCCCTGCTCAGGTGTTTCTCGTTGTTTTCATGTTACAAACTCTTTTGAAAGCAGAGCTCCCTCGTTGCAGTGTCACCATGTGCTGAGTTTTCAGACTAGAGGTACAAGTGTCTTTCCTTTGGATTCATCACGTGTTGTTCCTCTCATCCTTGTACCTGGAAGTTTTGCTGTGACTTCTGCAGGAGTGAACCAAACACCCAGGGCAGGAGCTGGGGCTGCATTTGGTCTGTGCATAGGGAATGTGAAAGGCAGAGAAATCAAATGACTTGCTGAGTTTGTTATAAATCTGTAGCAAACTCTTTGTGGTTCTTGGAACTTTGGGTTCCTTTTTCCCTACTCTGCCTGACAGCACTGTGGAAAAGGCTGCTGATGCTTCTGGGTGGTGTTTTCTATGTAAATGCAGCTGATAATATGTTAAGGAGTTGGAGTGTGGTGGTGTTTGTCAGGGAGGCAGTGCCTGAGCTTGTTGAGGTGCATTCTCCTGAGTATGCCAGGACAGCTGGTGCTGGACCAGTGCTTGCAGATTGTCTGGGATTAAAAAGATGAACTGAGTGACTCTGAGAGAATTCATGAATTGACATCAGCACCCAGTTCCTTGACAGTGGTCTCTGCACTGCCTCTTGCTTTAAAAGTTACACTTGTAGGAGCATAATGCAAGTTTAACCTCCTGGAGCATTTCTGGCTCTGCAGTGCCAGCTGGGAGCAGAGCCCTGGAGAGCATGGAGTGAGGATCACCCTCACTGCAGGGATGGGTCCTGGGTTAGGGTGCCAGGGAAAAGAGCCCCTCTAATGCATTAACAACTTGCATTTAATATTGCATCCTGAGAGAGCTTTGAAGTTAAATGATCTTCACAGCTTCCACCTGGAAGAGGCCATGTCTGAGCATCTGCCAAACCTCAGTGCTGCCTGGACCAGGCTGCAGCTCTGGGCTGCATCTATCAAACTGCTCCAGGTTGTCCATTCAGGAATTGTCCTTTTTAGAGTAATGCAAGTCAGGCTTAACACCCTAAAACCAAGGCTCAGTTAGTTTGTAGGAGAGCTCAGTGCTCCAGCACAACCTGAGGCTTTGCTGCACTAGACAGAAATAATTAAATTGGCTGGATGTTGTCTCTGTTATCTTCTGCCCCAGTGTCTGTCTGAATGGGAAGTGCATCTTTAATGATGAAAACACGCATAATGCTACTTTCTGAAGCCTTGCAGTATCCTTAGGAACATGTTATTTAGGGATGGGCAGGATATTGTTGGTGAGGAGGACTTGGTGAGATAACAACAGAACTGGGATGGATTTGTTTGCTTTGTATCTCCTGAGAAATAAATGTTGATTTATGAGGAAGGAAGATAGAGGATTTTTTTTCCACTGCCTTTATTTTACCTCTTTTTTTTGCATCTCCCAGGCACCTCTGAGGAGGTGACTCCTCCTGTCCAGCAATGCTTCATGATCCCCAAAAAGGAGATAAATGTGGTGTCCGACATGGCCAAATGGAAACGATCTCAGGTATGGTCTGGGCACAGGGGAAACTGGTAAGTGCTACTGGTCTTGTAGTGGCAGCCAGGTCAGGTCTGGGAACAGCCAGCAGGTAAAGCAGGTTTGGGCAAGGAATGGGAAATTAATGGCTTTGTGTTTTAAAGCAGAGGAGTCCCTGCCAGTTTGTAGGAAAATTACTTGGCAGTGAGGTGTGGAGTCTGGCAGCCAAACCCTCCAACAAAGGGGGAGCCAGGGGTTGAGGGAGACCAGAGATGCTTAGAAATGATTACTCCTCCTTCCCAACAAACCAGATGAGGAGCTGGTGACTGTTTCATCCTACCTAGCCTGTACTTTATACCAAAACTGGATTTACCCAGTGCTGTTTGTGCTTGCCTTGAACATAGTCCTGCTGCCTAGCTCTCTGGTAGCACCAGGCTGGCTTGGCTCCTGGGGCCTTCCCACCTTGCTTTACTGGAAAGGGCTTTGGAGCTGAAGCCTTCAATTTCCAGGATAATTTTTGTTTACAGCGTGTGTGGAGCTGGTGGAACAGGCAGGTTCTCCCTGCTCTGCCTTTGAGGGATTGGGGTGTTAGCCCAGACTTGTCCCACCTCTTAGAAGCAAATTCTTGCTCACTGACTGATGTGTCTTCAGAGAAGCAGAAATTATAGCCAGGTTGTCAAGCAAACCTTCCTTTAAGTCTCCTGGGTTTAAGGACTTGCTCCTTGTCAGGACTTTGGTGCAAGGAGGGAGAGGTGGCAGTGTGCTGCTCTGGAGCTGTGGAGCTGCACTGGAGATGATGCTTCAAAAGCAACAAATTCAAAGAGAGGAGCAGTGAGGAGCTTGGGCTGTGTCCCACTGCTCTATCATGTGTGAGCAGGGGGGAAGAGGTCAAGGAGGAAAAGGGAGATAGCAGCACAGGTCTGGGAGGAGCAGTGCAGAGCAGCATGCCTGGGCTCAGCTGAGACTCTGCAGAGCTGAGGAGTTTGAATTTGACCTGATAGGAGCTGAGGGAATGATGTTGGGGGCAGCAGGAGCATTGCTAGGGTTCTTTTTCTAGTTTTCACAGCAATGCACAGTGCAGTCCCCATCTGCCTTCTGCCACAAAGAGCAGGAACCTCACAGCAAGCCCTGCACCCCTGGGTGTCTCTGGGGAAGCAGTGGTGTGTGTTGGGAAAGGTTCCCTTGGGGTGCAGGATGCTGCCATGCTGTGTTGTGTGTTCAAACAGTCCATGGGCACTCTCTGACATGCTCTGCTCTCATGTGTGTTCACAGGCATACGCAGACTACATGGGCTTCATCCTCACTCTGAACGAAGGTGTCAGGGGCAAGAAGCTGACCTGTGACTACAAAGTTTCAGAGGTAGGAAAAGAGTTTGGATCCCCTTGTTTTTAATTTCCTGCCTTTTTTAATCTTTTTTTTTATTCCCTGGCTCTACAGTGAATATTTCCTAGGTGAGGAATGAGTTGGCATCTTATCTGGGAGCCAGGGAGAATAAAATGTGGTTGAGTTCTGCCTGGGGATGTGAATGTCAGGCTGCCATCCTCCCCCCAGCATGCAGAGGGTCTGGATGTGCTTGCCTTATGGGAAATCAAGTAAGTTACAGGTGGACAGAAGCTGGTGGGGAAAAGGAGGATGCAGAAAGGATATGTGTGGACGATGTTTTCACAGTTTAACTTCAACCACTGACATTTTGAAGATGTGCTATTCCCTTCTGGTTGCTGGCAAAAGACTGAGATGTCTGTACTATTCCTGTTCTCCCACTGGCCTTTCTGTAGGATTTTGGGCAAATCACTTCTCTCCCTGTCCCTGAGCTTCTGTGTTGCTCAGACTGTGTTAACAGCATTGATGTCCTCAGCCCAGGCTGTAGCTGAGCTGTGCAAGCTCTGGTTTGACAGTGCACAAGCTCAAGGCATGTCACTGGCTGCACCTGCCTCGCTAAGGGTTGTGCCAAGGGCTAAGGAGCCCTGGGCTGAGCTGGGGGGGTTTGGGAGGTTTAACCTGAGGGACAGGATCATCCCTTCCACGGTGTTAAGCAGAAAGGACCTGTTTTTCCCTGTGCATGAATGTGGCTGTCACCTGGCCCTGCCTGCTGCCTGTTCATGCTCTTTAGGCATAGTGAGATCATTTGGAGCCAGAGGGAAAGGGCAGGAATCCTCACTGGTGTCACTGCTGGCCTGAGGGATCTCTGGGTGCTGCATGATCTGCCACCAGCTTTGCTTCCGTGTGGCACGCTGGATCCTTCCCTTGTTCTGCATTGCAATGAGGAGATTCTTGGGTACATTCTTGCTGTTCAAACTTGGCTGTGCAAGAAAGCTGAGAATGATCTCAAAAGGTCTAGGCAGAATGGGCAGCAGACTGGGCCCTGTGTGTTTGGGGATTCGTTCGGGTGTGGGGAGGCAGCTGCTGAAGGTTTTTAACCCAGTGGTTCCTGTTTGAAGCAGGTGTGTTGAGTCCAGCCTCCCCTCCTAGGAGCCAGTGTGTGAATGAGAAACTCCCTTGTAGTTCATGGGGGGATCTGGGATAATGAGTGCCTCCCTTCCAGGCTTTGTACCCACCTTTTGTTCCTTCAATTCAGTAGAAACTGCTGTCAAATGCTGCTCTTGCTGTCTGCTGTTTGTGTTTCACCTTTGAGTTTGGTCTTTGTGGTGATCTCGCTTGTTCCCAACCATTCACAGAGCAGTTCTAGGGAAACAAAGCATTAAAAATGAGCAAAACAAAGAGGGAGGAAAAAAACCCCAACCCTCTTCCTACGAACCCTTTGAGCTGTCAGGAAAAGCTGTACCAGAGCTGCATCTGCAGCAGAGTCCTCTTGGAGGGAATGTTTTCCACCCATGGTCCCAGTCCAAGTGACAAACAAGACACGATCTCGACTGCTTGGGAAGTGGCAGGGAACAAGACTCATTCCCTCATGCTGAGGAGAGCAGGAGCCTGTGACTTGAGGCACAGGTGGAGCATCCCCAGGGTTGCCTTGTTGATGAGGTTGCTTGTTCACGCGGGTTCCTTTGTAGATCAAACTGCTTATCTGTGCTTTTAAAGGCTCAGCCCCTCGTGGCCTCTGCTTGCATCTCTGCTCAGCTTTCTTCTCTTTTGCTGTACCTGCTGCTGATGTGCTTTTGTGCTGCCCCATCTTCCTCCCTGATCAAATGCCAGGGACACCTTCCTTTGGCAAATGACCTCCTGGAATTCTTTCTGCTGAACACATATCCTCTCTGTGACTTACTGGTATCGTTTTGCCATGGAATGAAAAAGGGAAAGTATGTTCTGCTCTGCTTTGAAAGAGACAGCTTAATGGTTTCCAGAGAGCGTGTGTCGATACCAAACTGTCTGTTGGAGCAGGAGCTGGATCCTGTGGGGGCTGCGCCCCCTCAGAGACTTGCTGAGCTTGCTCTGCTCCTACTGAAACATTGTGTGGAGCTGTCTGGGGTTTGCTGGAGGCATCTGACAGGCAGTGATAGCCGAGCTGTTGTTTAGGACTCCGGCGTAGACACCATGTCTGGCACAAGGTTGTGTGACTGATAGGCTGTGACCTGCCTCTCCCTCCTGGAGGGAGCACTTTCCACGCAGGGATCTGGGGCTGCAGCCTGGAGCAGTGACTTGGAGCAGTGGAGCAGAGCAGTGAGGAGGAGGTTAATTTTGGCCATGTGAGGAGCAGACCTTCCTTTCAACCAGCTGAGTGCACTGGGGGAAACTGGCTGTGAACTGGACAGCCTTGTGGCTTGCTCTGCTTCCAGGAGGGAAGTGGGGGAAGCAGCAAATGCCCTGATTTTAGCAGCTTCCCCCTCTGACAGAGCCTGAGGAGCCCAGAGGGGCAGACTTGGTCCCCATGGGCAGCTTTGGCTGCCGTGATGCCTTCTCAGCACCTCTGTCTGCCTGGCCCCTGCTCTCCAGAGCTGCTGACAGGTCTGTGCTCCGTAGGAAGCTCTGTGGTTTGCCTTTGGGACCAGTGGCAGACTCAGGGTCAAGGAGATGCAAAATCAGCACAATGAGAAGAGCAAGGAGAGCAGGGGGGAGGCTGCCCTTGCTTTGATCACTGGAAAGGTAAAGCAAAAATAGAGCTTAAAAACCCAGCCAGGCAAAACAGGGCTGCAGTGGTGCTGATGGTTGTGTTCCCATAAGCTCCTTTTTTCCCCCCACAGGGGTCAGCCCTGGATGTACAGGTTTCCTCTGCTGGACAATGGGAAGCTGCTTCTTTTAGTCACCCCCTTTTCAAAGGGACCTGAGCTCAAAATGAGCCACATCTCTTTAATTATTTATTGGTGTGGCTGAGCCGGCAGCTGGGTCCTGCTCTCCCGTGTTCAGTGGGGCTGGGCTTTTTAATCCCTTTAAAGCCAGTGAGTGGGGAAGGGGAGGTTGGACTCTGCTCCCCAGGGAAGGAGCTGGTCCGTGCCAGCCATTTATCCAGGCAGCACCGAGTGCTCACGGAAAGGGTTTGAAATACGGTGGCTGCTCGTAATGAGCTGCTGGTGCCGGCGGATAAATCACCAGCACCATTTAATTATTTAATGCAACCCAGTGCTGAGGATGCTGTTGCTTAATTGGAGGGGAATGCAATAGCCAAGACAGAGTAGGGCTGAGTCCAAACCTGGCCCGATGCAGTGGGGATGTGCTGAGTTCCTGTAGTGTTTTGAGAGCAGATAGCTGAGGCAGAGGAGAATGTGCTGCTTTGGTCCATGTGTATCTAGGGCACTGGCCTGTTAGTGGCTCCAGCTTGCAGCCTCACCACAGAACCCAAAGCTTTTGGCTCTCTTGTCCCTTGGCTTTTTTTGTGTTCCTGGTGTGCTCAGGTCCTGTCCTCTATCCCAGCCTCTAGCCTGGCTCAGCAGTCAAGTGGGTCCTGTGGGGTGGATGGATCCCTGTCCTGCCCGTTCCTGCTTCCCACTGGCTGATCCCACCATGTCCTTGGGGTGGCACCTCAGAGGGTTGTGTATGCCATGAGACCCTTCCCCCTGGGAGCGATTTGCAGTGGCAGCACAGCTCTGCCATGCCTGTCTTTGCCCACCCCCTTCGAGTGGCACTTCAAGGGCTGCAAACTTGCTGGGCTCGGCTGTTTCCTCGTCCTCCAGGCAGCAGTGTGAAGAGTTGAACCACAGCCCAGGAGACCAGCAGGCTTCACACGGTCGATGCCTCCAGCAAAGTCAAACCAGCCGCTGCTTCTGCTGTCCTCTTTGTCCCCTTGAAGGAGGAATCCCCTCTTGAGACAGAGGAGCCTACATTGCCCGGGGCTTGGCCAGCTGCTGTGGTGGCTGATGGCTCTCTGGCTGCTCAGAGCGGGGCAAGGAGAATCCCAGAGCCTCTGGCAGGCTTGACCATTGTCAGCAGAGCCTCCTAAAACTGGTTGGAGCTGCTGAAAGTGCTGCCTGTGGTGTTGCCTCTTGTGGCATAGGGTGTAGCCATTCCCCAGCTGTCTGAGCCAGCCTGGGTCCAACAGCAGAGCTGAAGACATTGTGCTCTGTCTGCTGCACCTCTCTTGTCTTGCTTCATGGCCACTCTCATACATCCTACACAGGTTCCTCACCTCCAGCAGTAGGTGTGAGAAACATGGCTATTGTCCTTGCTGTTGTCTTCCCATCAGCTTTGTGTTTGTGTTTAGACATTTCTCTGAGAGCTGATGAGAGCACTGGTGGGCAAACCAGGCAGTCTCTTCCCCTGGATAGGCTGTGTTTTGCCACGTGCAGTGAGTGTCCCTGGGCTGGAGCTGCCATGGTGGTCTGGCTGGTAAGAGTTTGAAGCAACAGAAATCGTGCTGAGAAGGTTGACTTGCTGTACAAATGTGTCATGGTTTAGCAGCATCACTGCTAATCCTGGCTCCTGAGAGACACTTCAGGACAATGATTAGAGGCCTTGAGAAGGGCCTTTAAATCACATCATCAGCTGCTGGTGAGGATATGCAGTAAGTGCTGTGCTGTATCCTGTGTGCAACAGAGAACCTTCAAGATGCAGAGAATTGTGCAGCACTTCCATGCTGCTCAGTCCTGTGTACCCTACGGCTAGGAGCTTGCTGTAGCTCTTGTCCCAGAGGTTTTAGAGCACAGTGTTGTTACAGCTCATGAAAGACTGTGTGGGTGACTGGAGAGCCTGCCTCAGGCTGGGCTTTGTACTGGACTGATCTCATGAGGGGGAGAATGATTTTCCCAGCCCCTCTGCATTTTGAGGAAGGTTGGTACATCACCTTTCCACCAGCCATCCTTGGGAAGAATGGTGTGGGCTTTAACGACTCCAATCCAGGACAGAGGTGTCAGAGCCTGAGGGACTCCTCTGTTTTATGTCACTGTGACCCCTCATTCTCTTGCTCTCTGCAGCCCATTGAAAAGCTGGTGGCTCTGCTGAACACCCTAGACAGATGGATCGATGAAACCCCCCCAGTGGATCAGCCTTCTCGCTTTGGGAACAAAGCCTTCAGGACCTGGTATGCCAAACTAGATCAGGTGAGCATATCTTTACTGTGTAGCATTCCCTGCAGCTCCCACAGAAGGGCAGTGTGCTCAGCAGGGATGGCAGAATGGCTTTGTCACTGTGTGGCAGCCAGGCAGACTATGGAGGAATTACTCAGATAAGCTCTGAAGGATCCACCCCTTTATAAGCATCACTTACCCCTGACCTGGTGCTGTCTTTTCCTCTTATGAGAGCATATGGACCATGTAAATGCTCTTGGCTGGGTCTCCAAGTTCTGGATGAGCCATGAGGGCTCTTTCCTTTGTAAGTGCCCACAATGTCACGAAATCAGAGGAAAGTTGAGGAAACTGCTCAACATCCTTCAGCTCAGAGCACTTGCCCTGCACCGAGCTCTGGAGGTGGCAGAGTCCCAGCAGCAATGGGTTTGCTGGTGCTCTGCTGCTCTAGTGATGCTTTTGTCCTGGAGATGGCTCAGTGGGTAACTGGGTCAATGTACTTGAATGGTGAAGCTTTTCTGTCCTGCAGGGTTCATGTAGCTTGGGTAAGGATCAGGCCAAGCTATCCCTGACTTGTTCCATATCTGGAAATGACTTCTTCAACAGGAGAATTTGCTCCTCTGTCATGCTAGCTCTGGCCATTGCAGGAGAGCACCATTGCAAGTCCTACTTAGTGACAGCATCTGAGCAGAGGGTGACTTGTCCCTGGGGACTGTGACAGATCTGTGCTCACTCAGGGGAGTCTTTTGTGTCTTTCAGGAGGCAGAAAGGTTGGTCTCAACAGTGATTCCCAAGCATTTGGCTGATGCTGCCCCAGAAGTGGCTGTGTACCTGAAGGAATCCGTGGGGAACTCCACCCGCATTGACTACGGCACAGGTACTTGGGAAGGAACTCTTTGGAGCTGGGTGCTGCATGTTTTTAAACATGTCATTAGCACTATTTTAGTTCCAGCTTGAAACAAACACCTTCCTTCTAGAGCTCCCTCAGCCCTCTGTCCTGTGTGGGCTGTGACTGAGAGCTGGGGCTGGGAACTGTGCTGGAGCTGTGACACCCTTTCACATCTCATCCTAGGAAATGGGAACTAAGCTGTTTTAGGATAAGCTGTAGGACCTGCTTCAGTGCATGCAGCAGTCCTGCAATGGGCAGTTTAGAGGGATAAAATACAATGGCTTGAATTGGAGCTACAGTGAGAACCAAGTTCATGAGCAGTGGGAGGTGTCCTGAGGTCTGGTGGTGGGACACAGTTGCTTACAGAGGAGACAGCATTTTGCACCTGAGGAGATCCTGAATTGCAGGTTACCACACTGGCTTCAACAAGACCTGAATCCAGAACTGTCTGCATGCTCTGCTCCTCTGTCTGGAGGACAGGTGTGTCCTCACCAAAAGGCAGGACAGCAGGATGCTGTGAGTGCAAGGAAACACCACTTTGGACTTGGGCAGGGAGAGGAAGAGGAGGCTGTGGGTAGAAGGCTGAAGGCTGTGCAGTGCTGGCTGCGGCTCACTGGCACCAGGGGGAGATGTTGTCCTTGGAAAGGGACCTGCTAGATGAGGTTTGGTCAGCTGAGGAAGGAAATTCAGGCTCTCCTCCCCTCCCGTGTGTCCCAGGCCAGAGGTCCATGTCCTGGCTCACTGTGGCCAGACTGTAGGTGCGTTTTGCTCCTTCCCTGGGAGCTGCTGATCTTGTACTCTCCCTTCTTCTGTGGTTTCTTCTGTTAAAAGACGTTTCTGGGTTTGCTGGTTGTTTCTTTTCCTTGCTGTTAGCTGGAAGCCCAAGCTGCAGAGGCTCAGCCTGAGATCCCAGTACCTTCTGGGACAGACTGTTCCTGGCAGTGTCATGAGATCTGCATCCTTCCGACACAGATATTTTTGAAGCGGGAGGAAATCTGCTTACTTGCAGATGTGAGGTTCTCTTGCATCCCCTGAGCAGATGACTCTGCAGTGCTCCACCTTCCCTGCTGTGCCAAGCTCCTGGGAAAGTCCCTGCTCTGCTCCCAGCATGCCCAGTATTGGAACTGGTTTTCCTTAAGAACTTCTGTTCTCAAAGTTAATAATCACCTTATGAATGTCTAGAAGATCCTTTGGGTGGGTGCTGCATGGGGTGAAATATTGTCAGCTCATGGCATTAAAAGGGTTGAGAGGGGACCGTGACTGCTGTGATTTCTGAAGAGCTGCTGTAGTGCCCACAGAAAGGTTGTCCTGGGGACCAGAGACACCAGTGTCATGTCTCTTCATGTCTTTTACCTCCAGGGCATGAAGCTGCATTTGCAGCCTTTCTCTGCTGCCTCTGCAAAATCGGTGTGCTCAGAGTGGATGACCAGATGGCCATTGTCTTCAAAGTGTTTAACAGGTGAGGGAATGGAATGAGAAGGACTGGAAGCATTGGGCTGTTTGGGGAAAGGGCAGAATGGGAAAGCTGAAGAGAAATTGAGACAAAATTAGGATCAGATGTACTTTTCAATGGACTGTACAGTGACCCATAGTAACTATCTCCAGAAAAAGTGGTGGCCTCTTGTCTGTCAGAGGCTGAGTGGCTTTCTGGAAAGTTACTTTAGTGGAGCACAAGTTACTGAGCTCTGTGGGTGAAGCTCTCTGCTTTGTGATAGACAGGAATATCTGATCACAGGATCTAACATCTCTTCAGGCATTAAAATTAAAAAATCTATGCAATTGGCAGGACTCCACTGCTCCTCTAGCTGTGTTTCCAGCCCAGGAGGTAAAGTTGGTAGTGATGAAACTGGTGGAATGGGTGTTTGGAGTCCAGAGATCTACTCCCAGACATATCCGTATTTAGTGGCATGGAACCAATTTCCTTCAATATTACTTCCAGGTTTAATTTTCCACTGGAAAAGTGGAAGTAGTGATTGCTGTAACTGGTTTAAAACTTGCTGAGCTCTTTTGGAAGCTGTTGAAGGAGAGCAAAGTGTTAATGTTTTCAAGTAACGGTAGAGAAGGGGAAAATGTGTACCAACATAAGAAACTGGAGATAAAATAAACCTCTGCTACTGTATTTCTCAGTGAATTTGGTGTTAGGTACCATCATGCAAAGATGCTGACTGTATAGTCTATGTACTGTGCTGTATGTGGGAGTCCTGCTTACAAGTGATAAAGTTGTGTCCTTTTCCAGACTAGATGTTGTCCTCATATAAGTCAGAGAAGACAGAAGACCTTGTCTTAACCCTTCTTTTCTCTTTGGCCTCAGGTACCTAGAAGTGATGCGAAAACTTCAGAAGACCTACAGGATGGAACCTGCTGGCAGCCAGGGCGTGTGGGGCTTGGATGACTTCCAGTTCCTACCTTTCATATGGGGCAGTTCCCAGCTGATAGGTACTAATAAAAATCTCCTCGTGTCCCAGCCTGCCCTCTGCCCTGTCTGTCTAGGCTGCAAAGATGATGGAACTTGGGGCTGACTTTTAAATTCAAATATGTCAAATTTGTGTATAATACAGCAGAAAAGTTTGGGGCTTGAGGTTTTTGTTCCTCTCAGCTTTCCAGATAAAGCTGTTTGCTTAGGTTGGGAAATGGAAGGCATCCTTGTACAGTACATCTGTCTTTATTGCAATGACAACAAACCTTTTAAAAGGAGAGTCTTGATTCTGGTGCTTGAAAACACATTTTCTGCCTTGGGGAGTTTACCAGGTGCTCTCACTGCTGAGACACTGGAGTGGGAGATGAGCTAGAAGGGAGCAGCTCCATGCTGACTTCTGAGGAGCTCTGATGGGAGGATTGAGTTTCTGGAAGAGGGGCAAGACAGCACCTGATAGAGCTTGGTCTCAGAAGGGAGTTGCCATACAGGTTATTTCCTGTTGTCTCTTCTCCTTTTTAGACCATCCAAGTCTGGAGCCTCGGCACTTTGTTGATGAGAAGGTGGTAAATGAAAACCATAAGGACTTCATGTTCCTGGAGTGCATCCTCTTCATTACAGAGGTGAGGGCTGGAAAGTTCGTCCCACAGGGACATTCTCTTGACATTAGATACTTGGCTCTGGCTGTGGTTTTCTCTTCCTCCTTTGCCTGTTTGTTTGCTCTCGTGGAACTGTGTGGATGAACCGTTGCTGCATGACTGAGGTGCTCTCCTTGAATGAGTTGAGACAGGGATGTTGAGAGGAAATGTAATTAAGCTGGATGGGCTGTGGATTGTAGTTGAAGGGAGCTGTAACAAAAGCAAGCAAATAACCTTGGATCAGTCAGTGGGAACTTGGATGGAGAAAACTCGTGTGTACAAATACTCTAGGGAGATGAAGTAGGAGCTGCAAATCAACTGGGCCTGCCAAGACAACCTCCCTTCCTTCCAGCCTTTGGGTGCTGCCTGGCAGCCTCAGGCCCCTCCTTGCTGAGGGCAGAGATGGTGCTGAGACTCACCCAGCTGGCAGCTCTCTCAGGACCATGGTTCTGCTCAGGCACTGCAGGACCCTTAGGTGAGGGGCTTGTGATCCTCAGCTTGTTACTGTTCCTTGATGAGAGAGCTGACAGCTTGCTGCCCTCAGTATCAGTGGAGAATCCAGCTATGTTTCTCCTGCCCCACTCACTGCACAGTCTGGACAGGGAGAGCAAGTACTACATGTTTTGTTGTGGGGAGGGATTTCTTGTCTCTGGCAAGAGGGAGTTGATGGGATTAATTTTGAAGGACAATGTGTGGTTCTTCCCCTTTCTTCTGTTTGCTTTTCCCTCTCCTTGCCTCTCTAATTTAGTGATTAGATGAGAAGGGAGGTTACAGACTATCAACTTAGCCTTTCATGTAGGAAATCTTCATAGGAGGCTTTGGCCCAAACCCC